TACATATAATATGTTTTATAAATGAAACCAATCATTATAATGTTTCAAAACAATTTTATTTGGAGTACAGTCTCATAACGTTCGCTCACAAGAGAGTTGAGTACTTTTAAATGTTAGAAATCCGTTCTCTATAGAGAGGTATTCGTTATGGAGGGGTTCGCTGTAGAGGGGGTTTATTAACATTATATGTATAGCGAATCAGTCAAATGATTTCAAATCGTTCGCTATGAAGGGGTATTCGTTGTAGAGAGGGTTCCCTATGGAGGGGTTGCACTGTATAAAGAAAGCAAGTATATATTTTTAAATACCCTTCAATATTATTTACAAATTATTGAATTATTCTTTAATATTACAATAATTAACTGATTTATCATTGAATTTTTGTTTAACAAATAAAATATAAAATCATGATAATTAATAACAGTAAATAGATTTACAATCTTTAAAAGGTAGCTTTGAAAACAATATGCAGATAATTGACTTGTTGTCGTAAAGTTAGTACAGAGTGGTGTGTTTGACATAAACTGCCTAGATCATTCAAGTACATCATACAAAGTACATGGTATTCATACATGTTTGTATATTGGTACATCATTTACACTGTAATCAGCAATCAGTCATTAAAAAACAGATTAAAATACATTATCAATGTTTATATAATTACGAAGCATTTATCTGATAATGTAATTCAAACTGTTGTGTAGAGTCTATATAAATGAAAATCAAAACAAATTTCCATTAGTTTGTGATCAAAACTATAAGCAAATAATTGCAAATTAAAATTTCAAAAAATTATAACCAATTTTCATTAATACATAGATATGTCGGAAACAATTTTGGTGACGGGAGGGGCCGGTTATGTGGGCTCACACTGTGTGCTGGAGATGTTGGCCAACAAATACGAAGTGATAGTAATCGATAATTTGGTGAATTCGGTGCGTCTGGAGGGCAATCAAATGCCTGAAAGTATAGTACGAGTGGAAAGGCTTGCGAACACAAAAGTCAAGCAATACTTGAACGGAGACATAAGGGATGAGGAGTTTTTAGATCAACTATTTTCCAGCCATAAGATCGATGTTGTCATTCATTTCGCTGCACTCAAGTCTGTGGGAGAATCAGTGGCTAAACCTCTCGAGTACTACGAGAATAATGTTAGCGGAACTATAAGTCTGCTAAAGGTTTGCAATCACTTTCATTACTATTTTATTTTTATATACATTTACAGTATTTTCTGTTATTTAATTAGATTTTAACCTTTTTGTGTTATTATTTTTATAATTATATGCATTTATTATTTGTTTAATTCATTTGAGAAATTATTTTGATTTCTATTAGCTTTTGAATATAACTAAATCTCATTAAAAATTTGCATAAAATTGCCCCAAAATGTATGCAAACACGTTATAAACTCAATATGAGTGACAGAATAACATAAATTAACATTTAATTAAAATAGATGAAAAATCCTGTTGAAAGACACTGTGGGCCTCTTTAATCAGATTTGTTTTAATAGCAAATATAAAAAATAATAGTATATAATGTATATTTATGTTTTGATACATTGAACCTAAAGCTTCAACAGATATTTTAATTACAAAAAAATAAGTAAAATGATAAGAAATAATTAAATTATTATAAAAATGAACATTGAATTAAAATTATAATTACATGATCAATTTGCAGTCAATGCGAAAACATGGAGTGACCAAATTTATATTTTCGTCGTCGGCCACAGTCTATGGCGATCCAGAAGTACTACCTCTTGTTGAGAGCCTACCGACGGGTCAGACCTGTTCTAACCCTTACGGCAGAACTAAACACATTGTGGAACTCATTCTGAAAGATGTCTGCAAATCGTCGCCCGAATGGTCGGTCATTTCTTTGCGTTACTTCAATCCAGTCGGCGCTCATTCGTCGGGCGATATCGGCGAAGACCCTCAGGACATACCCAACAATTTGATGCCATTTATAACACAAGTGGCGGTCGGAATCCGACCCGAACTCAGCGTTTTTGGCAACGATTATAACACCGTTGACGGAACAGGTGTTAGGGATTATCTACATATCGATGACTTAGCGATCGGACACTTGAAGGCCATTGAAAAGATTTCGGGTAAGGGTTGGAATGGATTCAATGCCATCAATTTGGGCACCGGTCGCGGATACAGTGTACTCGAGGTAATTAGCAGTTTGTTAACCGTTTTATACTCACAACAATTTATTTTAAAGATAGTAAAAGCGTTTGAAACGGCAAACGGTGTGAAAATTCCGTACAAAATAGTGCCGCGAAGACCGGGAGACGTGACGGCCCTCTATTCGGACGCGAGTCTGGCCCTCGAAAAGCTGCTGACCTTCCGGCAGTCCTCAGACCTTCTCTACACGAGAAGACGGACCTTTACCGTCAGTTTGTTAGGTTTGCCAATATCCTGATGTTTTGTCACTGAATAGAGATTATGACAAGCAATTTACTTAGGTTTTCCACGAATTAAAGTTACAATTTTTAATTTGAAATCTTAGAAAAGAAAATAAATTAATTATTTAATAAATTTTTATGAAATCTATTGATCTTTAAAAAGTTGACAAAATTGTTTAAAACTAATAAGAATGTATGAAATTGTTTAAAAAATGACTTAAATTTGTGTCTGTTTTTAAGAAATAAATATTGAGTTCACAGTTAAAGCCTTACAAATAGTAAACAAATTTATAATATAATAGTTTCTAAATTAAAATGATTATTTTTCTCAAGAGATTCTTCAGTAAGTAGGCAACTATGTTTACATAACAGCTAGGCGCCTCACTCACCAGCAATAGCCCTATATAGACACAGAGCATATATTAGGGGTTAAGTAAATTATTGGACATTAATAACATAGAGTGCTGCGAATGGACGTTATCTGTAGGGATTAAATTGGGTTTAAGTTTTAACCGGAAATTAAACATTATTTTGCGGATCAAACCGTCGGCCGTTCCGAATGCCAGAAGCAGTCGCTTATCCTTAAGGAGATGTACTTTATTGAGAAGATCTGAACGATTGTATGCTTTCTCGTTATCAAAAGGCCATCCCATATATCGCTCCACATAAACCGAGTCTATTATCACAAAATACAGTTAAAAATTTATTTAAAAAATTATTAATTAAATAAAAACTATTATAAAAAAGCTAGCCATAAAGCATCCAATTGGTTACGGGGGCGACGGCTATACCGCACTGGAATACAGGGTCCGTGTGGTCGAGTGCCAGAGACATGAGGGTCACATATCCGCCATAACTCCAGCCCCAGATCCCGATATTGCGTTTATCGATGAAATCCAAATTGTCCCGAAGGTATCTGCCATTCAAAGCTCAATATTAGTCAACCACTCAATAACTTTACAACAAATAATGAGACAAACCTCGCGGTAATGATAACATCCATCACTTCAACGTTACCCATATTTTTATAGATTTCGTGCAAATATTTAGAGCCCCTGTTATCGGAGCCGCGGCCATCAATCCTGGCGTAAATAATGCTTAAGTTTGAGGCCAAATGCGTTCCCCAATGATTGACACGATATTTGTCAATAACTAATTGACTTCCCGGCCCCCCATACACCTCAACCATCAACGGGTACTTATTTTTCTCATCAAAATTGTGCGGCAAAACGAGTTCAACGTTTGAATCTAAATATCAATTTGAAAAAAATATTCCCTATAATCATTTTCCTATTTGTGTTAATTCTGATAAATATCTAATAAATACAAAATTCAAAATCATTTGTGCCAATAGTTTATGACATAAGAGTAGACACGAAATATATTAATTAAAATTGAAACTTTAAAATAAGTTTAAAATTCATTAAAGTTTTTCAAGAAAAAAATATATTATTTTTAGTATGCTTTTCATCGCGACCAAAACTGAGAATTAAAAGATCACTACCCTTGCCTAAAAAGAGACTCAAAGCGAAGGTCTAATGATAACAAAAGGTTAAGTCAGTGATTACTTAACAAATTCGTGCGCCTGATCTCCACTTTGGGAGTGTCCGGTCCCTCGCATTGCAGTACATAATAGTCTCGTTTGGTATTAAAGAATACATTGTTATAAAGACAACTTTG